GATCTCATCAGGAAGCTGGGTTCTTCCTCGGTTCCCCCTCTGCCGCTTGAACAAGAGCCGTAAACTTCTGCTTTCCGACGTCCAGCCGTTGCTTCATTCACTGGGGAAGCACTCAGGGGGGCTGAGCCCCGGCTGGAGGGGAGGGAGGGTGCAGGGACCGGCCCCCACCCCAGGGAGCTCAGCAGGTGTGGGTATAAGACCAGGAGTGTGACCGGGGTTTTGTTTGTTCTCTGGGGCTGCCAGAAACTGGGGGCTTCAAACATCACAAATTCATCTTCTCTCCATCCTGGAGACCCGACCGAGGGTGTCCCAGGGCCAAGCTCCCTCCAGGGGCCCCAGGGAGGGTCCTTCCTGCCTCTCCCAGCTCCTGGGGCTCCAGGCGTCCCTGGGCTGGTGGCCTCCTCCCTCCTGTCTCTGTGTGTCTTCTCCTCTGTGTCTGTGTCTCTTCCAAGGACACTGCCCTTGGGCGTCGGGCCCCCCTGACCCAGGACGACCTCATCTCAGAGCCTTCACTTCATCCCATGTGCAGAGACCCTGTTTTCTAATAAATTCACAAATTTCAGATTCACAAATTCTGGAGGTCAGCCCGGCCAGCGTGGCTCAGCGGTTGAGCGTCAATCGATGATCTAAGAGATTGTGGTTGGGGGGCTCAGTCTCCAGTAGGGGGCATGCACGAGGGAGCCGATCAATGACTCTCTCATCACTGATGTTTCTGCTTCTCTCTCCCTCTTCTGTCCTCTGTCTCTAAAATCAATAAAGACATAGTTAAAAAATTTCTAGGGCTCAGGACTTGGGGGGTATATATTTAAAAGAGAGAAAAAAAACACCACCCAAAAACCTTTCCTCTAACCTCTTAGGTGCTGTGCCGGAGGTCTGTAAATTAAATCGACCAAAAAAAAAAAAAAAGATGAAAAAGACTGATTAACAGGAGAAAATGTTTATTTCCTATGCACATGACATGTGGGGGAGCTTACAGGAAAGATGTAAAAACTCCAAAGAGGTGGTTCCACGTGGGGCTGATACGCATTTTATCACAGGGCGATGGAGTTGGGAGAAGAGACGAGACCAAGGAAAGGGGGTCTGGGGCTCGCGAGGGGCAGGGAACGTGTGGACAGGGGACTGGGACGTGCCTGATAAGTAAGGGTTATTAGTCAAGTTCTCGCTGGGCCGGGCCGGACCGGGAAGGGAAAGTGGAGAATATTTCCTAATGGAAATTTTCTGTACAAAGGGGAAATTCACGGCAGAAAGAGGGCAGACGGCTCCTGCTGTGTTTGCTCTTTTTAAATGGCTTTCAGCTCAAAACAACCCTGCAGCCAACCAGCCTCTTTGGGGGTGGCCCGTCCCCATTCCGCTGAAGGGAGAGAGGAGGCAGGTGGAGAGGACAGGAGGACACGGTGCTGTTCTCCTTGCGCTAAGACCACACTGGTGTTCGAGACATCGACTGGTCGGTTGCTTCCCCCACGTGCCCCCCGACCAGAGTCAGGGATCGAACCCACAAACCAGGTACGTGCCCTTGACGGGGAATTGAACCTGCGACCCTTTGGTCTGCGGGGCTCACCACTGAGCCACACCAGCCAGGGCTAGACCTGCCTTTTATCATCACAAAGCCTCTGTGAAGATGCTGAATTCGAGTCCTTTACGGCTCCATTGCGAGTGGCATTTCCATGGAAAGGGGCGCTTGGCCGGGGAACCCTTGCACCAATCCCCCTACAGGAGTGAGCTGGGTTTTTTTTTCTTTTTTCTTTTTTCTTTTTTTGCATTTTTAAAAATTTATCTTTATTGTTGAAAATATGACAGATGTCTCCCTTTTCCCCCCATTGATACCTTCCTCCCCACTCCCCCCTTCCCAGGCCTTTCCCCACTATTGTCTGTGTCTGTGGGTGATGCATATAAATTCTTTGCTTAATCTCTTCCCATCCCCTTCTTCCCCCTTCCCTCTGAGCTCCCTCAGCCTGCTCCATGCTTCTATGTCTCTGGATCTATTTTGTTCATCAGTTTATTTTGTTTATTAGATTCCACATATGAGTGAGATCATGGGATACTTGTCTTTCTCTGTCTGGCTTATTTCACTCAGCATAATACTCTCCAGGTCCCTTCCTGCTGTCCCAAAGGGTACGAGATCCATCTTTTTCACAGCTGCGTAGTATTCCACGGTGTAGATATACCACAGCTTTTTTTAATGCACTCATCTACTGATGGGCACTTGGTTTTCTTGCATTTGAATAAAGATGCTTTGTCCCCACAGGAATGGATTAAGGATACGCAGAACGTCACCCACTTGAATAAGACGGAGGACCGGGAGCAGGAATGTGTCCTGGAAGAGGCCCTGGTCATCCAGCTGCCCAAGACTGAGGCCGAGACTCCGGAGACGACGATGACAAGCTCATTGTGTCTGCAGACGGCGGAGAAAGAAGCAGCTGCTGGGGAACCCGGGCCGCTCCCTTGTCAGCCCCCCCAGGGAGGAGAGATGCTCTGTCTCAAGGGCTTCATGTTTGTGATGAGTGACAACTCTTATGTGACGCTATGAGGGGCTGCAAACTAAAAACCAACTTTGGGTCTGTGCTGACATTTACAGACTGAGGGGAACTTCTCAGAGACTCGACGCCCATCCCCATGTAGGGGAGACCCTGGAGCAATGATGCCAACATCTCAGGGTCACCGAAGACCCCAATCCTATCTCCCGTTCATTGCTTTTCCAGAGTCAGCTTTGACCCCACGGGAATAATTATTCAAGGGCTCGAAGGCAGATTTATTGCATGAGGGAGGCGATTGGTTGGAGCGGTTCTTTGCTCTCGTAGCTGATGTTTTCACAGAAAATCGAGCAATTTCTGGGATCCCTTGTTACTCAGAACATGGATCCAGCAAGCGAGCCTGGGAGGCTCACGATGTGAAAGGAACCCTGCTCCCCAAATGCCCACCAGCCACCCCGCTCCGCTTGCAAGAACTGGGGCCATTTCCTTCCAGAGACTCCGTTCTGCTTCCTGAGTCCACACCAGTGACATTCGTCCGTGTCTGGGAGGTATTTGAATTTCTGAATGCTCTGTGCGGAGTCCCCTGAGGCATCCCCCGCTGAGTGTAGGTGACACCGGGCACCGAGGGTCAGAGGCCACCTGTCGCTACTTGAGCCACATTAAGCAGAGACAGGGTTGAATCATACATGAGCGTTTATTCCAATAATGCCTGCAGTAGGGGAGAGCAGTCGGTCACCCTGGAAATTTTGCTCTGACCCCCCCGCCCACCACCACCAGTTGGCTGATTTTTTTTTTTTTTTTT